TATAGTTTACAAAGGTTTAATAAAGCACACCTAACTAACCTGACAGAGGGTTAATTTAAAAAAAAAAAAAAAAAAATTATTATCTAATAAAAGTTAGAACTAACTATATTTCTGAAATTAAAAATACTTAATAGATAATAATTTTTTTCAAATAATATATAAGAAAAAATTAAAATTATTAAGAAATAAGTTTTTTAGATAATTAGAAAAAAAAATTTCACAATAAAATATTTTTTATTGAAAAAAGATTTAAAAAATAAATTTTTGAAAAAAACCAAAGAATTTTAATTTTAATTTTTTTTTTAAACCTGTGATCAAGCCAATATAACATATTTATTAATCTTTAAGAAAACTGATAGAGATATATTGGACAATTATATTATAACTAAACTAAATCTTATATTGACTTACTTATCAATTGTTATTAAATCTCAAATGAGCTTAAGCCTCTAAGTGCAACTTTGGGAATAATATTTTGCTCTGGAATAAATTTTGAGTAAAGATCCTTCTAACTTATCCATAATTGTTAGCAGGTTGTCACTGTCTATTATCTCCCAAGGAATTGATTTCAAGAAACTACAATAGGTAAAAGGAAAAATAAAAGGAAGTGAATATCTAAAAATACACAAATGTATGTATATGAAGAGAAAATAAAAAAATAAAAATAAAAGTGCTTCATTTTCTTTAAAGAATTGCTATTAGAAACCTTCTCTCATTAGAAACCAATTCTTTTGAAATATTCTTCTTCTTCCTAATTATCTAAGAAACTTATTTATTTGTAATTTTAATTATTTCTTGCAATTGTCTAAGATATTATTACCTACTTGAATCTAATGTCTTGCTTGTTGCTTTTTTTCTTTTGATATTGATTTTATATTTATTCATATTAAGCAATATCTTATAATAAATCTTAGATTTTTATATGACCTTTCAGTTATATTATATAACTACCAATATCTTCTAGCAGCCATGTCTAGTTAAAGGAATTTTACTAGTGAGCATCTTTCATTGCTCAAAAAGTTACATTTCTCAACAGTCTTTTTGCCTTAAATGATAGAAGGGTCTCACAAAGTAGTGGGGATCCTTGTCAATTATAATATTATTATATAATGTTTGAAGAAATGTAATCTCAATTCTAAAAAAAGGTAGTGGCTTACAATCTTCTGTTTTTTGATTTTATTACTTGACTAGGATAAGGAAATAACCTTCTTTGTGTACTTTGCCTGACTGGGATTATAAGAAGTTGAAAACCTCAGCTTGAATAAATAACTATTTTTTTATAACTTAAGAAATTTAGTACCTGTTTTAATAGTTTTATTATTTTTTTGCTTCAGTTATATTTTATTTGGAGAAATTAAGGATTTCATACAATAGATTTTTTTTTTCACTAATAACATTATCAGAACATATGAAGTGATCAGTAGGTAATGATAAGTAAAAATGGGTTCCTAAAGAGGGAGGCAGGGACAAAAGTTAAATGTCACTTATTAGGAAATATTAAAATTTTTAAATTAATAACCATAAAAAAACTACTCACAATTGTTTTCCATTATTCAAATCATTGATTTATAGTATTTCATGATTTTTGTCCCTATTAAAGTGAAGAGCTATGAATTTTGTTCCTCAAAAAGGGGCATAAGTGATCTGTGAAATTTTACATGTTAAATACTTTAGAGACTCGTTAATAATAGGTCCTTAAAGTATTTAATATATAAAATTTTGCAGATCATTTATGTCCTTTTTTGAAGAACAAAATTTATAATTCTTTACTTCAATAGGGACAAAAGTCAAGAAATACTATAAATTAATGATTTGAATAATGGAAAACAATTATATGTAGTTTTTTTATAGTTATTGATTTAAAATTTTTAATGTTTTCTAGTGGTGAACATTTGACTTTTGTCCTTACCTCCTCTTTTAAGAATCTATATTTATCAGTAGGTGCTTATTTATATTCAGTTAATAATATATTTCATATTCATCAATCATATTTTGCAATAGAATGTGTTATCTAAAATTCAGGATTAAACTGAGGTAGGCAAAATTCCCTAGAAAACTAAAAAAAAATTTTGAGTAACTATAAGAGAGAAAATATAATGAATAGATATCTTGAAATATGACTTGATATTTATCACCTTTCACTACTAGAAATCTCTATATATATGTAGTATTTCAATATAAAAGACTTTAAATACTATACTATTAGTTTTTCTTTTTTACAGAACTTTCTTGCTATTGATAGAGAAGGTGTTTCTTGATTTTCTAGATCATAGGAAGTCAAGTTTTTGTTTGAAAATAAATATAAACAAAAGAAAGAGTTTGCTTTAAGAATGATATTAAGACTTTATTAGTAAAGAAATAAAAAATTTCTTGTAAACATCTTTTTTGTATATGGATAAAGGATCAATAAAAAGAGTTTTTATTATACTTTTTCTAAAGAATTTTAAAAAATTTTTTTATTTTCTTATATTATATTTATATCTTTTTAATATTATTTTTTCAATTTATTTTTTTTTATGATTTTTTATATTTTAGTGATATGATAGATTAAAAGAGTTTTTATTTAAAATTTATTATCAAGCAAAATAATATCAAACTTATAAAGTATTATTATTTATAATAAATTAAATTTATTTAAAAATATTTAGTTATAATATATAGTATATTATATTGTTTAAATAAAAATATATTTATATTTTTATTAATTAATAAATTAAATTGAGTCTAGTTGCAGATATTATAACAAAAAAATTAAATTATAATTAATATAAGAATTATTTATTGATTATCAATTTAAATATATTCTTTTATATATAAATTGATACAAGATTAATTTGTTAAGTATTATAAAAATAAATAAATTTATATACTGTATAATTTATAATTTATAATTTTGATTATTTTATAATATTAGGATTAATAAATGTTTTATTAAAATAAATAAATTGATATTTATTAACAAAATCTTTAATTTTAATTATTTTGAAATTTTTGATTTTTATATATATTTGTCAATAAAAATGGAAGGTAATGCAAGACTCCCTCTTATAAGTTACCATATTTAAATAAACATAAAGTTATTATGATTTTTATTTAATATTTTTTTTAAAAATAAAAAGTAAATTTTAATATCAAAAATCAAAATTAATATAATTAAAAATTTTAATTATTTATATTAAATTATAAACTTTTTTATTCTACAATAAAAATTTTATTTCATTATATAATTAATAATAGATTTTTAAAATATTTAATATATGAAATTTTACTAATTAATTAATTATTTTTTTTTTTGAAAATAAAATTTATAACTTTTTACCTTAGTAATGACAAAATTTTGAGAATACTATAAATCAATAATTTAAGCAATAGAGAATTGTTGTAATTCAAAAAATATTTAATTGTTGTTTTATATCCTCTTTTAAGAATTTATCTTAATATATAATAAAAAATTAAAGTATTCTAACGATAAAAATTCGGAATTTTCAAATTTATCATGATTTTAAAATTTATATTTAAGATTAATTGCTTACAGTATATATATAGTTTACAAAAATTTATTGGTTTGAATATTGTATCGAAAATAATTTTATTCGCATGATATTTTTTAAATTGATGCAATATCTTATTATTTTAAATACTCTGCTAATAATAGACGCTTTGGAGGTTATTTTACTACATCACGTACTTGATAAAATTAAATTTGATACGCTGTATATTGATTAATGTGGGGTTTTCATAAAAATAGGACCAATGACTTGTTATTGTTTGCGACACCGGCTAATTACGTCTAATCTTTGATTTAATTATCGTTATCTTTATGAGATAAATGGGATAATCGATTGTTTTCGACATTTACCATTTATATCACGATTTTTGTGTAACTCGTTTTAGAATGCCCATATAAATATCGTAATGGGTGGGTTGACCTCACATCATTAACATGGAAAAAGCAATTTCTCCAATACCCATAGAAGTTCACAAACAGGAAGCGATGGCATCAACCCATCATAAAACTAGTGAGGGTATAAAGAATGCGATATTTGGCTCGGTATAAGATTTTTTTTTTTTTTTGTCGAATTTTTGACTTTTATTGAAAAAATTACTTTATTAAAAAAAGATTTTTCTTTGCAATAAATCAAATAGGTTGCAGGAATGACCGGCAAAGTTTTTGAATATCCATTTGATACGGTGAAGACAAGGCTTCAAACTCAACTTCCCGAACGTATTATTTTTATGGGTCCCTTGGATTGCTTCAAAAAGACATTTAAAAAGGAAGGAATTTGGGGATTTTACAGGGTAGATAGGTTAAAAGGTGCTTTAATAGAATTATTTACACGGTGTTAACATTGGATTTAATTGTTTAGGGAATGTCGCCACCCATGGTAGGAGCAATGCTAGAGAATGCAATGCTATTCCTGGTTTACAATCAGATTCAAATGATGATTATAGAACATGCAACTCCGTCTAGTGAACGACATCTTTTGTATAAAAAGGATATTGTCGTGAATCAAGCTCCGCTTAGCATGTATCAATTATGTTTAGCAGGTGGTATATCCGGATCGTTGACCTCATTCACGCTAACTCCTTTGGAACTAATCAAATGTAAGCTGCAAGTTCAAGAAACCTTCACATATGGAAAAATACCAATGGCGGCAACAAGGAATGAGCCTTCTGTGGTAGCAACACGTCCAGCGTACACAGGCCCGATGTCAATCATTAAATACACTATAAAAGAACACGGAATAGGTGGACTTTATCGTGGTCATTTTGGCACGCTGATTCGTGAAACGTTTGGTGGGGCTGCATGGTTTGGGACTTATGAATTTGTTTCGAGATTATTCATGAAACAAAGAGAGAGATCAATGAGCATTGATGGTTTATCACCATCTAGGAAGACAGATTTAAGTGCGATACAATTAATGATATCCGGGGCGTGCGCCGGAATGGCCTATAACATAACAATTTTTCCGGTGGATTCGATCAAAAGCCAGGTGCAAACGGATGAAGAGATGATGTTGTATATGGGAAAAAAAGTTGTAAAAAGAGGATTTTTCAGGGTTGGCAAAGAAATATACAAAAATAATGGCATACCTGGATTTTATCGTGGATGTGGTATTACTGTAGCTAGGGCTGCTCCTTCAAGTGCCATAATCTTTATGACATATGTAATTACAACCTTCCTTTTTTTTTTTTTTTTTAATAGATGAGATCACTACTGATGATTCTTTATTTCGTTATTTTGTAGGAATTTTTGTCTCAACAATTTTCAAGACGTTAAATTATAATTATTTTAATAATATTAAAACTAAACTATCTAGACTAATGTTAATCAATAATGTTACCACGCATTGAGGTTTAAATTATATATATATATATATATATGTGAATTTTTGTAATATACATACGCCCACACTATTCTCATGAATGCATTTAAATAAATAAATAAAGCAAAGATAATCCCTTTAGAAATCGGGTTACCATAATAAAATAATACTGTATTTTGTCGTAAAGAGTCATATTAGTATAATACTTTTAAAAAAAAAAAAGACTTCGAAAAGATTGTTCTTTCTGGAATTATAAATGGGGTTTTTGCTAAATAAGTACTTTACTGGATCAACACTCACTAAACCAACTGCGTATGACCGACTTTTTGCTATACCTGAAAACCGAGGATTAGTCTCGTTTCTATAAATATTCTTTTTCATATTATCACATTTATTATTTTCGTTGAGTTTATATCTATTTTCAAATAAAACATTTAATGGCATGCATATATTATTATTGTAAAATTTATCAGGAAATTATTTGGGCAAATCAAGTGGATTTTAAATCATCATTGGAGAGCGGGCAAACATTATGGCATAGGATAGTTAACACTGGGGATCCCGAGTCTGCGAGTTTAATTTTAGAAAATTTTTACACGATCATGTGATCGCTAATCACTATATGAATCGTAGTATGATCTACCCCTATATTATTCTCCCATTACTTTATACAGTATGTCAGAAAAATACAGTACGTGATTCGCGAATACGAATAAAGCATTATAGGGTTCCTAAATGAGAGTAATGTAAAACCACTCAGAAATAAGATAGGACAATACATCACGCCTCTTGGAAACCGTAAATATCGAGAAGAAGAAGGCAAGTAATTTTTATTTTTGAAATGTAAACTAGGAAACTGTGGCGTGGCAAGAATTTCTAAGCTTCTCTGCCATTCAAGTCTCTAAGCCGAGCCATGAAAGTAGTACAGGTTTGGGATAACCTCTAAGCTTATCTGATGCTAAGGCAAAGGCTTCTAAGCCGAACTGGACTGGAATTGCCTACTTCGAGTCTTAAGCTTACTTGACATTCTAACGAGATAGGGAGACCATATGAAAAATCTAGACATTGAAATATAATTCATTTTTAAATCTTTTGTTGCTAGGATATGTGACCGATCACACACTAGCAAGGAAGTAGGGATCCGAATGTTCACGTAATCAATTTAGCCAATATTCACAAATGTGGGCTTATCAAGGTGGAACATTGGACATAAGATTAAGCAGTATTTTACAAAGTAAAGTAGTAAACTTTGTTAATTGTCTTCTGACTGAGAATTTTAATGTTACAATTTTCTGATTGTAACCCATGTTTTATTACTTCGGACAATAACAAATAGAAAAAAATTCGAGAAATTTTTCTCTTGTGATATAATTTCATCGCAACCTCATGAAAATGAAAGATCTACTTCATCAAGTCCTTCACAAGATGCATGAGAATTATATGGACATTTTGATAAACACATGAATTAGAGGAGGGGAATAACCTACACCATCACCTAATTGTTAATAATAATTTTATTGTTGATAAAGTTGATATTGTTAAATGTTTTAATTCTCTTCGTAAATTCATACCAAATGCAAGCCCCAAGATCTGGTAAGTATTTCTTTATTTAATAATTTTGTAGATAAATTTACTAATATCTTGAATTTCATATACTGAATTGACGGGGCAACATAAACCGGCCAAGTGTTTTCCACGAGATAAAACGAATTAATTGACTAGTGATTTTTTTTATTAGGTGTGATGATCAATTCATTTTGATAATGTAGAGGTAATTACAATGCTACATGTTCTTAATCATCACTTTCGTTCCATTAATCATTATTCCATTACCCAAACAAGAATTACCTATACTAAACATCCATATACAATATTAAGGTCATACATGGAACACCTCAAACCATTAAATAACAAGGAGAACTTATGATTTGTTTTGATGCCCCGGCCATCAGGATGAGTCTAGATCGAAATCAAAAAATATTATATATTAGGTTAGATTTATTAATCTCATTTATTTTTTATCATATTTGAGAACTTTGGGTCTGAGCAACAGCTAGTTGAAAGCCGAAAAGGTGTAATAAACAGGAGAAAAATCTTATTATGAGTATATGCTGTATTATTGATATTATAATAGAAAGGATTCTCCGACAAAACATATTTAAAAGTTTCATTTGTGAAGTCTTGGGGACTTCCAACAAGATGACCCCCAAAATTTGGAATGATAAATGGGCAATTATTCTTGAAGGCGATCAAAATATTAAATATGATTTTTTCGGCCCCCATTTTTTAATAATACGTATATAATGCAAATTTTAGGATCACAATTATAAGGTCCGAAAAATCCCTGTCCGCCTTCGAAAATAATTACCCAAATAGAGTAATGACGATAATTCTTACTCTACCATCAACAATTATATGAAAATCATTGTTAAGTAATCGATAAATATATTTTAAGATGGATAGTAACTTCTGACAGAAGACTGACATTTTTTGTTGCAGGCTTACAAATGAATCTTTAGGAATCTAACATTTTGGAATGATTGATAAGGTTTCTTTGTTTGTCTCATCAAAAGAGTTGCCCTCATGTGAAGCGGTGCATGCAATATTTCGTTCTTTGGAGGTTTGCTATTCCCCGATCCCTTAATTGATACATGTATTTCACCATGCTTACCAGATCAATTTCTTAGCATCGATTGAACAAGTTATCGGATTAATGTACAGATCTAAAAGCTAAAACATGCAAGTTGAGGCGGAAACGTGGCTGTATACTGTATATGAATAAAGAAACTGTGATATGTTGAATTCAGAAAAATAATATTAGGCTGTATAAATAATTATTTGCATGTCACGCGCATAGCATGCTGCTTTGGTCACGTGACAAGACGCGATCTACACGCGAAGTCGAAAACACAAGGCAAGAATACATTAGTAGTAACATAACAGCGCCGCGAAACACAAGAAACTTTGGGTCACAGCCATGATAGTCTGAAAAGTGACGTGGAAATTATACTGTAAAGGATAGACTCCAGAAAGCATAAAAAGTTAGCGATGTTCTAGCAAATTGTATAAATACCGTAGATGCATTAAGAAGAGAGAGGAAAATGGAAGAAAGAAGAACAAGTGTAAGAAACGTGTTGTAAACTAAAGAAGCAAGAAATATGAGAAAAGGGAAAAAGGCTACAAAGAAATCAGCACGCACAAAAAAAAAAAAAAAAAGGCCTGACGAGTTACTTCTTAGTGTCTCACATTAATATTTTTTCTTGATACAGGCTTCTCTTCTTAAACTCTTGCACTTTTAAACCAGGACTTCCATTTCCATAAGACGGTTATGCGAGACGCTAGGGTTTGGCGACTGACTCGCTGTCTCGCCCACGACAAAGAGAATGAGCAAAAAACGAACACTGACCATATCGTCCGGGCTGAAATATAGATTATGTCGATTGATTCTACTCATCCAATTTAAGGGATTTATCCCAACTGCTAATGGTTGGTGAAATCGAAAATTAATGAGCTTCGAAATAAAGCCGAATGTGAAACATTCTCTTAAATATTTTAAGTGTTTGTGTATACTTCTGGCTCGCATACAGAGGTAACACATGATTAGGTCGATTTTTGTAAATCTTATATCACAATTTTTTTCGCTTTATTTTTTACTCTTATATAACTCCTTCTTTTTTCAATACATTCTTTAACACGTTCAGGCATAGTATCAATAAACTCAATAATTTTTTTAGATGGAATATTACTCCATCCCGCAGTAACCACCTCTTCTAATTAGGATTCAAGTTTGTGGTTATGGATCCAGCTCTTGACCTCTCACCATACGTTCTCAATTGAACTGAGGTTGGATGATTGTGGGGGCCACTCCATAGTCACAATTCCAAGCTCAGATTTAAGCTTTTTCACAACTTTACATTTATGGATAGGCACATTATCTTCTTGAAGTATCGTCTCATCAGAAATCATAATTATTGGATAAATGGTTTCAAAAACAATATCTGCATACTCTTCACTATTCATACGTGACGTAGAATGAAGTAGATAGTGTAAACTGGTTTCATTTATACATCCCTAAACCATTATAGATTTATGATTACTTTTAACGGTTGTTTGGGTACAATTTGGATCATAGAGTTCATCTTTATGACCCTTAGGATTCGTCAGTCCATAAAATACATCGTCAATCTTAATCATTTATATGATTAGTTTTACTAATTATTAATTTTTCTGCATGCAATATAGAAATAGATACCATTTCTGTTTAAAACTCTTTTCAAGGTCATTGAAAATGTAGGCTTAGTTAAAAATTTAGCAACAATTAGTTGTTTTGGCATTCTCCAGATTTCTGAATTGGATTTTATCTTATAAATAATTAATTGCTCAAAGCATTGATCCACAAGTAGTTTTCAATTCTTATTTATCTTTCTTAAATAATCTGAATTTCTGGTTGATTTTAGATATCTAATATAATTTTTGATACAATTGCCTGATCTTTCAAGAATTTATGTAATTTTGACCACTAATATACTTTTTTTCTCAAGTTTTTCTATAATAAAATATTTAGAATCCATCAAATCAATTTTGCAATCCATTGAAGTATATAAATTTTTTTTTTGATTTTTTATTCTTTAAATAATAAAATAAACAAAAGACAAATGTCTTTTATTAATGTATAGTAATATACAAGAATAATTTTAAGGCTAATAATTGATTATTGAAATCTTTATAATATGAAATTTATAAATATCAATCTAATTATGTATTATTTCTATATATATATATATACAAGGATAAACCAATTTATTTTATAAACAATTATAAAAAAAATGATTATTTTTTTATTTAAAGGTAATTAATTCTATCTTTTTTTTTTTAATAATCACCTTATATAATTTTATTAGTTTTACTAAATTTTTTATAATTTTTTAAAGTATTTATTACAATTTTTTCTTCATATAGATTGTCAATTTATCTAAATTTTACTGATTTTTTTTTTATATTTCTTTTGATTAGCTTTTATAGATCCTCTATCAAATTAAAATCAGGACTATTAGATATCCAATTTGTTATGTCAGACATATTTTCTTTAAAAAAAAACTTTTTGCTTAGCAACTTATATACTTAGGATTATTATTTTACTAAAGCCATCAATTATTTTTTATTATTATCTTAATCTTAAAAAGTTATTTTCTTATAACATTTATAAAGAGTTTAAGTTAATAAAATAATAAAAGTTCATTTTTCTTCTGATCAAAAATTTATCTTAAGAATAAAATTTTTTTCAATTTTTGAAATATCTATATCAATTTATAATCCTTATATCACTATGTAATTACAATATATTCTTAAATAATTGAAATAATGTTCTATCTAAGAATAAAGTTCTAAATTAATTATTATTAAAATATTTCTTTATTTAATTGATTTTATTTCTTTTTTCTTTAATATTAATATAGATATTACAAATAAAAGAAAATTTCTATAGCCAAAATTATTAAGGTACCTGTTTTTAGAAATTATAGTTTTTTTTTTTCTTTGTTAGGTTAGTTATATATGTTTTATTAAATATTTTGTAAACTTTATATATTAATATAATACTAAAGCTAAATCTTTAACTAATTCACTCATCTTGACTATTGTTACTTCAAGTGTGACTTCAGGAATAATTTATTATTTCACTAATAGTTTAAGTAAATATCCTTTCAACTATTAATATCAGTGTCTATAAGTTACTACTACAGATTACTTTACAAAACTCTAATAAAGATCAAAACCTAACTAATTTATTTTATATTTAATTTTTTTTTATTATGATCTGCTTCAAATTTTTATTATTCAATCTTTCTTTTTTAAAAATTGATTGTTTCGTGATCTTGATTTTAATCTTTTAGACTTTTAGACCCGGTCTTTTTATTTTATCCTTTCTGTTAATTCTCTGTGATTCTTTCTATTTAATCATATTTTCATATCTTTTATTTTAAATTTCTTTTTGAATATAATTACAAATCTTTTTTTGTATTTTTATAACCTATCTATAAGCTTTTTATCTTATTTTTTTACTATAATATTTAAAATCAGTCATTGCAATGAGCCAGTTACTTTTCATAAGTTTTGTACAAAAGCTTAATATTCCATAACCACTTTTAAAACTTCTTATATAAATTTGAAGATTATCTTATCTAGTTTTCTTATTTTCTCTTTATTTTTCATAATTAGTTATATATCTTTTTTTTTATTTTCTCTTTTCTCTTTTGAAAAAGTTTCTTAAATTTCTTCAATATCTCTTCTAATACTTTTACTTTGCTTCTTGTAATTTCTTTTTATATACTAAATATTCTTGTAATTGATTTACTGTTTCTATATCTTTACTGCATTCTATATATACCACTTATTTATAAAGATCAGATTTTCTTATAGTTAGTTTTGTCAAAATCAATAACTCATCATTTGTCAATTTTACAAGAAAGTTTTTTTTTATAAAAGTCTTTAAATGAAGTATGAAATATATACCTATCCTTAATTCTATTTTATATAAGGTTCTATATATATTTATATTAATCTTGTATTTACTGACTCCATTTTTCCTAGATTTTATTCTATTATATTCATTAATAGGCTATTGTCTTGCTATTTACTTTTTTGATAAAATTTTTTATTAAAGTATCCAGTGTTATACTTTGCCATTTAATTTTTATAATAATTTTGAATGATATAAGATTCTTCTATTCTATTACAGGAAGTTGAAGGGCTTATTTAACTATAGTATCTACTTCTTTATTGTATTTATCACTGGAATAGACCTTAACCTTGATCAGCTTAAGGTTCAAATATTTTTTCTTTACAATATCTAATATTTATATTTATAGAAATCAGTTTTTCTTTTTTAATCATGTGTCTTATTAAAATCTTATTTCTTTAATTTCTTCTATTTAAAGATACAAGCTTGCTTGTTTGTATAGATCTTGACTCTACTTTTAATAAAAACAACTAGTAATATAACACCTATTATTATCACTTTTGTTCTTATTGATAACAGCCAGTTTTTTACCCCTATCTGAAATTTGATTTCTTTTTCTATTTCTTCTATTTGAATCTATACTGCTTCTATTTCTTTTCTTTACTTTTATAATCAATTAATAATTCATCAAAATAAAAAGTTATTATTTCATTTAACTTATGATTTCATTAAATATTTCTATCAAGTGGAACTAATATGTACCTTTTTTTATATTATCTTTAATAATTTTTTCTTCACTAATTTGATAGCTTGAATCTATTCTTAATTCTTCTTTATTACTGTGATAAAAATAGCATCTACTACCATTGGATAGTTATTTTTAGTCATGATTTTCATTATATTTCTATTTTTATCTATTTATTTATAATTATTTCTTTGATATTCTTTGATATTCTTATTGGTACTTGATTAGCGTAGATCACTTTATCAAATGTAGCACATGACATAATTTACTGTAGATCAGGCAGCCCAGGAGGCCTAGGAGGCCCAAGTGGCCCATTTTTACAAGTATATAAGCAGTCATAATTTGCTCAAAAGTAGGATAAGTTTGTAGATAGCTTCACTTGACTTTGGAAGTTTGATTATAACTTCACTTTTCTTTTAGAAGATTGAATATTTTCTCTTAATTTTAGGATTCAAGGAATTGTTCTAGTTTTCTTGATTTATTAATAAACTTGGGTTCTGAGCGAACTATATTTTTTGTAAAACACTGTGTGACATTGTTTAAAGGATTCTTGGTGAATCTCTTTTTGAATATTTCTTTATTATAAACTATTTCTTTAATTTTTTCTTTGAAAATTGTTTTTTTAAAAGCAATTTCACTTGGATACACTGGTCAAATATAAATTTGATTACAACAGTATCAACAAAGACACATTATTTGGGAAGAAGTCAGTCTCTTAATTAAAAGTGATTTGAAAAAAAAAAGTTGCATCAGTAGAAAAAGAAAAAGGATATATTATTGTTATTAACATGCTTATAAAAAAAAAGAAGATCTATATTATATAGATCTATATTTCTTTTTTTTTTTTTTAACCTGCAGTCAGGTTAATATGGTATATTTTTATTGTATATAAACAAAGATATTTATAAGATATTTTGACTTTCACATAACTAACTCATCCATCATCGAAAAACTATTTCTCTAGATGCAACTTAGGGAATGATGTTTCACTCCTTTACTAATTTGAATAAATCCTCTAATTAATAAAATCATTGCCTACAGATCATTACTATAGATTATTCTAAATTCTGTCTACAGTTAAAAACCAAATCATTTAGTATCATAATAGATTTAATCTTT